AATTCTCCTTCTATCCTCCTTGGTCATTGTCCAACTCTCTGATGCGTAACAAGTGATTGCGAAGACCATGGCCTGTATCAGACGCACCTTAGTCTCCAGGGAGACACCATTGCTCTTCAGTTCGTTGGGGAGGTCCCTAACAGCAGACTTTCCCATGGCAATGCACCTTTTAATTTCCTGGCTACTGGTGCCAAGAGTGTTGATTGTGGAGCCAAGCAAACTAAAAATGCAACAGCAATTAACCTGAAGGTTGTGGTATACGTCCACCCAGCAGAGGGAAGCCCTGATGATCAGCCACCTTGAAGATCACAGCCAGCAAAACCCCATAAGGCAGCTCTAATGTGCCTCTCGTGGTCACCATGGGTTGACACTGACATCAACTGGTCACTGAAGCCCTACATACTGCTTGAGGCTCTGTTCTTTTCTAGCTGTATAGTCGTAAGTCTAGGTCCCTAACCTCTGAGTGCTTCACTTTAATCAACTGAGAGTGGGGCTCGGAACAGACTACCCCTAGGGCTGTCAAAGTTAATGTGGTGTGTAAGTAAAGTGTGCATTCCTGATGCATGATAAATCTTTCAAAACAGCAGCTGTATACCTGTATTCCCAAATAGAGTATCATCTCCTTGAGAACAAAGCTAACATTCCTCTACAGCTCTGAGCCAGTGACTCCAGAAATGAAGGCGATTCCTACATTCTTGATCTCAAAGGACCTGGCATTCATTCATTGTTCAATCTTGTGCTAGTTTCTAACAAATACCAGGTTTTGAAGAACAGAAAATTATCTCCTCACAGTTTGGGAGGCTAGAAGTTTGAATTCTAGCAAAAGAATGCCTGGTGGATCTGGGGGAAGAGCCTTGGCACACCCTCTGTAGCCCCCACAGTCCTTGGGTCTCGCAAATCTCCATATGATGTGTAACCTCGCCCCATTGTGTGAGCCTTCTCTGTCTCCTCTGCTCTTTTCATATCTTTTTTTAAAATACTAGTTTATTTACAAAACTCAAATACATTGTTTTCCAGAACAGATTCTTCCAATTTCCCTCACTCCCCTACCCATCAAATTGTACAGCTCCATGATTAACACACACAGCCCCCCTCACATCCTTATCCCTAAACACCACACACTGATATGTTGTTGTTAACATACCAAAGACACCTCAGTTTTAAGCGGGCTTACATAGTTCAGGATTCTGATACATATTTTGGGGAGAGACAGTTCAGTCCATAACAAGCCTTAAACTCAGCAAAAAGGAGCAGACGCCATGAGAAATGAACTCAAGTGAGTATTCCCAGTCCTTTACAGCAGGGGAGCACGAAAGTAGAGGGCTGCATGTAAAAGGGAATCCGCCTACAAGAGCCTCTTGAGTGGTTGTGCAACGGACTGATGACAGACTCAAAGTTAGTGGTTTGAATACACTTTGGAAGAAGAGCCTGGTAATCTGCTTCCACAAGGTGGTAGTGACTGTTGTTTACCGTTGAATAAGAACCAACTCATAGCTGGCCCTCCAAGGTGGGTGATAAGTGGGTTTTCCAAGGTAGTTAATCGAACAGGAGATTGATCATCCTTCACTTGCAGAGCACCTAGTGGATTCGAACTGCATGCCTTCAGAATTGGAGCACAGTTTCTTACCACTAGGCTACCAGAGCTCCAAAAAGGAGTTCACACATGGGAGCACCATGGCAAAATGAATGCAGAGCCACTGCATTTCACTCAAGGAGTTCCCCTTTAGGGAGCTCTGGTGGTCTATTGGTAAGAAGGTACGCCGAAGGCAGACAGTTCAAACCCACCAGCTGCTTTATGAGAGAACGATGGGCAGTCTCCTCCCATGCCACAAGGTGGTGGTGGTAGTGGTGGTGGTGGTTATGTGCTGTTGAGTCATCTGTGACTCATAGCCACCCAGTGTACAACAGCCCTAAACTCTGCTCCATCCTGTGCCAATCTCACTGTCTCCGACACACCTACCCCCATTACCCTAGTCACTGAATCAATCCACCCCATAGAGGGTCTTCCCTTCCTGCACTGTACCTCCACCCTCCCAACATGACGTCCTTCTCCAAAGATTGGTCCCTCCTTGCAACATGTCCAGAGTATGTCAGAAGAAGCCTCAGAATCCTTGCCTTCAAGGAGCTGTCTGGTTTCACCCTTTCAAGGTTTACAGCCTTGAAAACTGGAGCACAGTTCTACTCTGACACACATGGGGGCGCCATGGCAAAATGAATGCAGAGTCGCTGCATTTTACTCAAAACTAAACCCAGGGCTGTGCGTCTTTACAGG